TTATATTATTCAAGTACAAATATATATTATTATTCAGAGTATTATTCAAATACAAATAGAATTATTGGTAGGCAGAAACACAGGTAGACAGGTAGACAGGTAGATCATATACAAGTCAAATTATTAGTGATTATTTACACATACCGGAAAGTTCATGCAAGTTGCATTAAGGAAAAGTGCCATTAGCACCTTTTACCTATAATATTTACTCCTAGTTTTTTTTGTAATTGTAATTTGCTCAAATTACTTTACGAGCCATGCGCCATGAGCGGATAATGGCTCGTCCCCATTGCACGAATCCGTAATGTGCGTAAACTAATTACACAAACTAAATTATTGCAAACGAAAGCAAACCTTTTTTTTTTTTTTTTTTTTTTTTTTTTTTTTTACAACTGTCCTGAAACGGACAACAAGTAAAATTTTTGACATGAAACTGAAGGCGTTGGCAAAATACAAATCATCTGACCATTGCCAGTGAATTGTCGAAGGTCTTATCTATTGTTGATTAATGCAGAAGAAATTTTCTTTTTAATCGGGCCCTGGTAGGGTTGTTCTGAAGTTTTCTCGCGAGCAAGTTTGGATGTTCAGCTAGGCGATTTCTATATTTGTGTGAGTAAGCGATTATTTCATCCTTAACTGTGCTAGTGCCTGTGTCTTTGTGTATTAACCAATTTGGAACATATTTTGGTGCTTTCAAAATTTCTTTTAATAACTTGTTTTGAAATCTTTGAATTATTAAGGCGTTTGAGTTGGAAGTTGATCCCCATAGCTGTATGCCGTATGTCCAAATTGGTTTAATGATGGCTTTATAGAGGTAAATTTTATTATGAGTGTCAAGTTTTGATTTTCGTCCAAGGAGCCAATGATATCTTCTTCTGGTTTCTTCTAGCTGCTTTCTCTTTTTCTTAATGTGTTCTTTCCAGGTTAGTCTCTTATCCAGGTGTAAACCTAGATATTTTACTGTGTCTGTTTGATCTATAATTTCGTCATTAAGTCTTACTGCAGGACAAGTCCCTTTGCAAAGAGTGAAAGTGATGTGTTTTGACTTGCTGCTGTTAACTTCTATTCTCCACAAGCTTAACCATTTTTGTATCACGTCAAGATGATCCTGCAGCATTTTTGATGTGATTGTGGGATCTTCATGTGTTGCCATTATGCCTGTGTCGTCTGCATATGTTGCTGTCAAAATGTCTTCTTTCTGTGGTAGGTCCGCAGTGTATATGAGGTATAATAGTGGTCCAATGACACTACCTTGAGGCACTCCCGATCTGACAGGATGTAATGAGGATGTTTCACCCCTTACACTAACAAAGAATGTTCTACCTTCTAGGTAAGACTTTATTATTAGGTATATATCAATCGGCAATGCATTTTTTATTTTGTAAAGTAGGCCGGGGTGCCACACCTTATCAAATGCCTGACTAATATCGAGGAAAACAGCTGAACAGTAGTTCTTGTTTTGGTAAGCCTTGTTTATATTGTCGACAATTCTATGAATTTGCTCTGGTGTGCCATGTTTTTCTAAAAATCCAAATTGATGCTCAGGGATAACGTTGCTATCATAAATAAATGGTTTTATTTTACTAATTAAGACCTTTTCGAATATTTTGGATAACGTTGGAAGTAAACTAATTGGTCTATAACTTTGGACTTCATTCGGATTTTTACCAGGCTTCGGAATAATTATGATTTTAGCTATTTTCCATTGATCGGGATATGATTTAAGTCTTATTATACCGTTAAACAGGATTGTTATGAAACGGTAGGCTTTGTAGGGAAGCTCTTTAAGTATATTAATATTAATGTTGTCTACGCCAGGTGCTTTTGCAGATTTTGCTCTTCGGATTTCATTTGTAATTTCTGGAACTTTGACAATGATGTTTGATGAAAAATTTAACTGAACTTCTTTCAAAGAATCAAAAATAAATTTTTCTTCTTGTTCCGAGGATTTTGAAGAATTTGGCGTAAAAACTTCCTTGAAGTAAGTCGAGAAATATTCTGCTTTTTCTAAATCACTGCGTGCCCAAGTGTTGTCCGGTTTTCTAATTGGAGGTATAGTAATGGCAGGACGTTTTAAGTTTTTTGTGGCTTTCCAAATCGAATGATCTGATATTGTTAAATGGGATAAAAAGTCTTGAAATTGGTCGTTTTTAAACGTTGTTATCTGTTGTTTAATCAATTTAGACATTCTGTTCAATTGCGTTTTGTCTTGTGGAGATCTGGTTAGCTGCCATCTTTTTCTTAGCCTCCTTTTCTCTGCAATTAGAGCTTTGGTGTCTATAGAGCAAGTGTGAATTTTCTTTTTAATTTGTGGTGGGGTACTTTTTCTAGCTGCGTCTATTACAATTGCACTAAATTTATCAACAGCATTTTTCAGGTCATGTTTGTTTTTCAATGGTATATTACAGTTAAGATTTTGCTCTATAATGTTTCGGAATAATTCCCAGTTTGTATACTTATTAGTTAAAAAATCATTTTTCTTGTCTTCTAAAATTTTTGTACTGTATGTGACTATTATCGGTGTGTGGTCAGAACTTAGATCAAGACAAGATTTAGCCTGAATGTGTTCATTTGCTATACCTTTCAAGACGCAGAAATCCAATAGATCAGGTAATTTGCGCAGATCACTCGGCCAGTATGTGGGCTCGCCAGTGGATAGGGTCGTTAGCCCGTGTTTCTGGACGGTTTTATAAAGTTCATTCCCCCTTGGATTTGCCAATCGAGATCCCCAAAAGGTATGCTTCGCATTAAAGTCTCCTCCCGCTATGAATTTTCTCTGAAGTGTTCCGAAAAAATTTTCAAATTGTTCACAGGTGATCTTGTGTTTTGGTGGACAGTAAATTGCAGATATTATTAATTTTTCAGTTTGTTGTTGAATTGTTATTGATGTGGCTTGTATAAAATGCTCATTGACAGATGTGTTTTGGTAATGTTTGATGTTTTTTCTTATTATTATAGCAGTTCCACCGTGAGCTGTTCCATCCGGATGATTAGTATTGTAAAAATTATAATTGTTTAATTTGAAATAGTTTAAGTTTGTAAAGTGGGTTTCTGAGATCAACATAATATCTATTTTGTATTCTATTAAAAATATTTCTAATTCTTGCCTATGTTGAGCAAGACCATTGGCATTCCAGATTCCAATTATTAATGAGTTACTATTCATTTTAATTTTGAAACGACGGTGGTTAGTAAATTTAGTATGATACTAAATTTGCCTACTAAATCTTTCATCATAGATTTTAGCTCATCAATGTCGGAATTAGCTTGTTGCTGGTTGCAGACATTTGGATCTGGCATAATTTGGTCTATTGGGTTTGTGGCTTGCGCGTACGATTTATTAGATTGAACATATGACGGTCTGTTTATAGTATTTTCTGTTGGATAATCTCTGGTGCGAATTGGGGGAAATCTTTGAGCAAATAATTGTTTGTATTCCTTACAACCTTTGTAGTTGGCTGGGTGGTTTTCATTACAAAGTACGCATTTGACGTTTTTGTTGATGCGATCTGTCCATTCGCATTTTTTACTGAGATGATCGCCAGCACATTTCACACATCTTGCGTCTCTGAAACAATACGATTTAGTGTGACCATAACGTTGACATTTTGTACACTGTACAATTTCTCTTGTTGGATTTTTGGGCTCAATTTTAACTCTAATTCTATTCAAAAATTCTATGTTGAAGATGTCTTTGTTGTTAGCGTTTTGTTCCAATTCTACCATAAACATATGCAGTGGAGCACGAGTAAATCTGTGCTTGATGTTGGCTATATACACAACTTTGTGTCCATGAGATTCAATTTCATTTTTGATGTCTTTTATGTCGGTGCTGAAGTGAATATTTCTAATGACTACTTTAAATGTTCGGTTGGTTTTGCTTTGAAAAGAGTGCATCTGTGTGTTTCTAATTTTTAAAAGGTTCAAAATTTTGTTATATAGCTGTGCAGAACTCAACTGTATTCTGACTTGATCTGTACCAACAATTTTGTTAGTATAGTTACCTTTGGCGTGTGTTTCTAGTAAAATTGACAAAGGTCTGATGTCTTTAACATCATGGACAAAAATTGGCGGTGGTTTTGATACTACTTCTTTCTCTGTTGGCTCTTGAACTTCATTTAAAATTTCAAAGGAATTGCTGGTTAATGTAGGGTTTAACCAATACTCTGCAGGTTTATTTGCTTTTTGTTTTTTGTACTTAACCTCGATCCATTCTTCAAAGCTCATGACTTTTGATCCTTGTTTGGAGGTCGATGGTTGTTGGTTGTGTGAAATCGACACAGGATGAACATTATCTAAACAAGATGAAGAATCGTTCAAAAGTGAGTTTTCTGATGGGGTCCGGGTCTGCTTAGTTGGATTTTCTATATGAATTTTCACGCTTTTCCGAGGCATCGGTTGTGGAATAGTTTGTTCAATATCCATATTTTCTTGACAATTAATCGAATTTCCGTTCAAATTATTTGATAAATTGAGACGTAATTTTTCTGTGGTTTGATCCGAACATGTTTGCAAATCTTCATGTAATATATTATTTGTTTTGGTAAGAGAAAGTTTGTTCATTGTGCCCCCATAAGGGTGGCACAAAAATGTGTAACGTCAACACACTAATTAGTATACAAGTTAAGTACACTATTATGAAATATCACTTTATCACTTATTTAATGTTTGTAAAAACTACATTAATTTCGTACTTTGATTATGGTTTACATACACAGTATAATAATTTGACGCGAGAGCATTCACTTTCACACGTACATGACGAAAGCAAACCTCCTCGCGCACGTTGCGAACAGGATTCGCCGTGCGCGTTCGTGCAATGGAGCGCACCCTATCATTCGGCGCTTGAACTAAGTAGTTGGGAATGTTTACTTATCTATGCTCCCACACTCCACAACGATGGGTTCGTTACATATACTCTTCTTTTATCTATGGTTCGTTATGTCAAACAGATTGATACCAATATCTATGCTTTTTATGTTCTTGGATTTTTAGGTTAACAGTAATGTTTTATATGAATGCGTGTTCGATGAGTGATTTAGTTTAATTTGTGTGGTTTTTTTTGGTAGTTTTACCTTTCTAATACTACATGATATTATAAATTCACTTAAGTCTAGGTCGATGAATTTTTTAAAGGCTTTTCGACAGCAAATGCTCGGTTAGAATATTTGAACTTAAGATCATATTTGTAGTAAGTCGTTGTGCAAATCATAATTAGTTTATTATAGTGAATTTGACGCATCGTTGGTGTTCAATCATGAATGAAGTGAATGTAGAGACTGCTGCAAAGGTGACAAAACCTAAATACGATGGTCGAATAAAAAAGAGACAATGGGAAGACGCTAATGAAAGTGATGAAAGTAAAAAGGCACGCACAGAACCTAGGGTTAAGCGAAGAAAAAGTATCATTCTTATGGGTTATTCTGGAATCAATTACTATGGAATGCAGAGGTAAGCTCATATTTTTATCTTCATTTTTTTTCATTCTATTTTTTTTTTCAGGTGCATATTTATTTGTTATATTGTACTAATAATTTAATAGATTTTAAAATTATCATTTGCTATAGAACAGTAGTAGGTGTTTTGAATGCAGTTGGTTGATTATATAACGATTCACTTCAATCAAAATTTATACTTTAAGTATTTTGAATACTTAATTTTATTAGTTAAACATTTTAATTTTAGAAATCCAGAAATGAAAACAATTGAAGAAGACTTACTTACTGCATTGTTAAAAGCAAAGTTAATTACTGATGAAGCTTTTGCTCAAGTACAGACAATACAATTTCAAAGAGCTGCACGAACAGATAAAGGAGTTTCTGCAGCTCGGCAAGTTGTGTCACTTAAATTACGTGAGTACTATTTTGCTTAACTTAATTATATTGATGTGAAACATTTGGTAGATTTTATTTTAAAATTTCAGCTGATGAAGCTGAGCCATCAGCCATTAATGAACATTTACCTGAGGACATAAGAGTATTTGCAGTAAAACGTGTTACTAAAGGCTTTAATTCAAAATCACAGTGTGATGCTCGAACGTACACTTATACACTTCCAACTGTTGCATTTGCAAATCATGACGAAGTTCATGATTCATCAAATTATAGGATTAATAATAATAAAATGGAACAAGTTAGAAAAATACTAAAGTATTATGAAGGATCAAAAAATTTTCATAATTTTACTTCCAGAAAGTATGTCACACAATTTTTTCTCTAAATATAAATTGTGTTTTCAAATATTTTTATTCTTATTCATATGGTTACAGTGAACAATTCAATGCTAATTGATAAAATATAAAATAATACTGGCATCAATCAACTATTCATAATTTATCTAATTAAAAGATTTTTTGTGTTTAAATTGGAAACTCGTGTTATATTTTAAATCATACATTTTGAATTTGAATGAAGATTTTACTTTCAGAGACTTCTATGATCCCTCATCGAGACGTTTCATTGTTTCTTGTACATGTTTGGAACCATTCATAAGTAGAAATATGGAATTTGCTGTTATAAGTATAAAAGGACAGAGTTTCATGCTGCATCAAATACGTAAAATGGTTGGATTAGCTTTAGCTATCATAAGAGGACACACAACAGAAGAAACTTTGGAAAAGGCTTGGACAGAGAGCAGACTAGATATACCTATGGCACCTGGTTTAGGTCTTGTTTTAGATAGAGTTAGTATTTGATGACCTTTCTACAATATATATATATATATATATATATATATATATATATATATATATATATATATATATAAACAAATAAACATCGATTTTAGGTGCATTATGATAAGTATAATACTAGATATGGTCTTGATGGTATTCATGAAATATTGACTTGGGAAAAAGAAGAAGAAGAAATAAAACAATTTACTCATAAATATATCTATGAAAAAATTATAGAAACAGAAGTAAATGAGAAATGTATCGTGAGCTGGTTGGAAACGCTACCTTTGCATTCTTATGATGTGAGAGATGAAGGGGCAGAACAATCTTTAAAAAATCTTAGGGATCTTAGAGAAAATTTAGCACTACAACTTAGTTTTTTTTATGAAAGAATTGAAATAAAATTTTATTTGCATTAGATTTTTGAAAAGCATTATTTAAATGAAATTACAGGTATTATGGTTAATGTACTTTTGAAAAGGTCATTTACAGGCTTTGTGTGAAAAATTATATATGATTAGGACAAGATATCTGAAAATTCAAGAACAGCTTTGGCTTTTAGACCATAATGCTATACTGAATCAGTCCCTCATTGGTATTTGAACAATTTATTAACCTCTTCTTAAAAATGTTGAGAAATACAGTTTCATTTGGTTAGTATTATTAAAAATATGCATTTGCTAGCAATCCATATTTTTAAATTCATAGTCTTTGTGACTGTGAAAGATATATATTTGTATATGCTTTAAAAATTAAAATATTCAGTTTTGTATGTTCTAGCGATGGACTACCAAAACCAAGATTTGATAGAAGAGTTGATATCTTCTTTTTGATTGAGTACTTTATTTTATCTTCACAGGCACAATCATTCACATGTTTGTTCTAAATTTTAGGAGTTTTGAAATAATATACACTATGTTTTAATTATTTTTTATTAGAAAAAAGTAATTGTGTTACAATAATTTTTTAGGAAGCCGCTAGACTTTCTAATGCCATTTTTAAAGCTCCTTCTCTAGTTTTATTTCCACCTATAAATCCACTAGCATGACAAAAGACAGTATCAGGGATTCCAGAAATTTCTTCCAATTTATCATTTCTAACTCCCCACCATTTTGGGTGAAGAGGTTTTCTAAGAATCAGATATAAAAATTTCTTTAAAAAAAATAATTTATAGTAAATATAGTAATAAAGTAACAATCACCTCAAAACAAAACTTTTTGGTTGCACAGGTACAGCCTGAACTCTCCAATTATCATTACTTTGAAATATTACATATTTTAAAACTCCTTCAATTTTTTGCTCTTTCTCTAAATCAAATAAATGATCTTTCCAAGGAATTGGCCCTTAAGTTCCATAATTTGTCCAGAGGGATCAATTTGAGATCTTTCAAGTAAACAATCTTCTACTAATTTGCGTGCGGGCCACCAGGAATTTGTGTAATACAAAATCCGATCTTCCAGTTCCTTTCCCGCATATGCCATAGCATTTTTAAATAATTCATCTTCAGGAATATTTTCCGTTGAGTTCCAGGTTGGGTTGAAATTAGCAACCCGATAGCTTAAGTTTGTAGATATTGTATAAAGTGGTTCTCCTGCATACATTGGAACTCCATTATCGATGCCATCAATTTCTTGAATAAAATTCTCATATACCTTAAGATATATTACTTTTAAAGCTTCTTCGGACAAACTGCCACCTGTGTTTTTTTTATAGATTGAATTTATTATTTCCTCTCCAAAATGCACATAAATTAATCCAGCAGAACTCAAACTGAAAATCGAATACAAATTGTAATTATAAATTGAAGAAATTCACTATAATAAAGTATGAATCGAGTTGAATTACAATACAGAATATATAGAATAATGTATAAAATTAAAATTATTTTCTAAACGAGAAATTAAAATTTTATAACATAAGTATGAGGATTTTCTCTCAATAACATTTGAGATGTAAATAGATAAAATTTAAGCCGAAAATACGTGAAAAACTAACCGCACAGTCCACTGTTGGCCAAATTCTGGTCGCAGCGAACTAAAAGTTTCTTTGAATTCGCGCTGGTGATGGTCGTATCTGTGAATAGTCTTATCATAAACACCACCTACATCTACTACAATATCACAGTCTTTAAGAAGCGATTCATCTCTTGTTCTAACAATTATACTATTAGAAAATTCTTTGAGTTGCAATAACATATAACAAGCTAAAACTTCGTCACAATGAAAAACTTGATTGTGAGTCCCTATTTTAAGAGGGGAGTTTTTAGAAAATTCTAGATTATGCATTGTAAAATTTAACGGTAGTGGTAAATTAAAGAAAACAACTTTACTACCAGCGCTGCGATACAAACTCCTAACCCCAATCTTGAAAGCGGCAAAACGTGCCAGGTTACCCAATCCTGGAATCATTTTGCCAAAGATAAATGATTTTCAGATTGTGAGCTATGATGGTCGATACGCATCAACATTTGGCTATTTGTAGGGTTAGGTTTGTGGTTTTTAATACACAACATCATGTTTTAACGTTATGTATTTTATCTATACACAATATCATGTTTTAACAACATCTTATTTTATTGCATGCATATATACATATACACAAATATATATTTATTTATATATCAAATGCTAACATGAAAAATTCAAATTGCTCTGTTCGTTTGCAAACCCTTGTGTACTGCCATCATAGACCTTATATTACATGGACTGCTAGTCTGCATACATTTCACAGGTAAAAAATGTCAAAAGATGTTCACTGTTGCGAAGGTAATGCATACATAGATAAAAGAAGAGTATAAAAGAAGAGTAAAAAGAGTAAATGTGCCGCCGAGAAACGTAAAGATAGATTAAATAAATGCATACGAACACGAGCGTGGCCGAGAATAGTTGAATGCTCTCGATCCCTTAAACATCAAATGAAAGTCCGTGTGTTTGGAATTGTTGAGAAAATATTATATAGTATAAACAATTTATGTTGAACTAATGAATATAATGAACTATTTATTTATTTATTAAAGTTTGTGTTTATTGTTTATTGATTGTTTGTGATTATTTTAATGTGTTTAAGGAAAATTAGAAAAAATAAAAAAATATTTTATATGTATATTTATATATACAGTTGGCTATTTATAATAGGTGTTATATTGTTGTTTGAAAAGCACAATTTTCGTGTGAAAGTTGTAAAGAATTTTATGTTCTTCATGGTGCATTCAAATTGTTAAGTACATTTTTGTAACAAAGTTGATAGTGCTGGATAAATTACTGAAAATGACTTGATCTAGAAAAATATGCAGGTCCCAAGTCATTCAACTTTTGGAGTTATCATATGAATTTTTGTACATTGAATTTGAGAAATTTCGAATTATACTTTCTATATACAAACAAATTCAACATTTCATCTATGAAAGATATCCACAATTTTTCATATCGATTAATGTCGAATTTTCTGGTTCTCCTACAATCCTCGCAAAGCACTCATTTATTTAATCTATCTTGACGTTTTTCGGCGGCATATTTACCCTCGCAACAGAGAACAACTTTTGACATATTTTACCTGAAAAATGTATGAGGACTAGCAGTCCATGTAATATAAGGTCTATGACTGTCATTCATTTATGAAACTTGCTCAATTGCTCAATTCAATGTTCTATGCCTGAAACGTCAAACTCACTGGATTGTCTGTCAAAGTCGAAAGCCTTGATTTCTGATGTGAATTAAAAATTTTGGTTTCTCTGTGTACTTAATTATTTATTATGCACTAATACTGAGGAATATTTTCAAAGATCATTTGTTTGCCTTATTTGAGATTATTTTAATCAACTAATAAGTTATTTTGCAATATCAATTGCTTGTATGCAGTGACAATATCACAAAAATTCAGTTTTAAAAAAAATTGACATGTGGTTCGAAGGAAAGATTTTAGAACAAAATTTATCTGAAAACGTTCCATGCTTATTGAGCGCACAAAAGCGTAAGAACTGGGAAGATGGACTAGTGAATTATTTATAGTATATTTAATATAGCATCTGGACTAGGAATTTCAATTAAAGGACAACGAAAATGTATGCTTTAAAAATGTATGTAAAAATACAACATAAATGAATTAAATCAATAAATACATACGAATACAATCTAAAGACATACGAAAAGCAATTTTAATTAAAATGAAATGGTAATTGACATTATCATGTTATAAGTTCTTTTTTTTTAGTAAAATTATAAACAGCGACATGTCTCAAGAGTATATGCAATCATTATACAAGTACCTCACAAACAATTACTCTATTGATCATAGTAATATTATTAAACAGCATACAAAACAGCTGGATATTGGAGATTTAAGTTTTCCCATTCAGATGAAATCATGGCACACTTTTCTTATAGAAGACATTTGCAGAGAACGCTTAAAAACAATTGAGAAAGATCCTCAACAATTTGTATCTGATTTAATTTCTGAAAGTGAAAAATGGCCTATTCCTATTCAAACCGTTACATTGACTTCTGATCATTGTTTTCTTAGGTTCAAAAGAGAATGTGGTTTCAAAGTAACATTGAAAAAAGTTTTTGAA